GTGGGTGGGTAAATGGGTATTTTGGGGGAGAAAGGAGGGGAAATTGGCTATTTCTGACATTTTGGGGGGAAATGTGTATCTAGGAGGAGAAGGAAGGAAAAATGGGCCATTTTTTACTTTTTTGTGAAAAATGGGTATCTGGAGGGAGAAAGAAGGGGAAATGGGCCACTTTTTACTTTTTTTGGGGGGGAAAGAGGAAAAAATTGACTATTTTTGATGTTTTTTGGCGGGAAATGGGTGTTTTGGGGGAGAAAGAAGGGAAAATCGGCCATTTTGGAGGTTTTTTGCGGGAAAACGGGTGTTTTGGGGGAGAAAGAAGGGGAAATTGGCCACTTCGAGCTTTTTTTTTGAGGGAAATCACCCCGCGCCTTGACTTTTTTGAGGAGAAACGTGGGGAAACCGGCCCCTTTAGAGCTTCTTTTGGGGAAACTGCCCCCTCCCGGATGATTTTTAAAGCCCGAATCGCCCGTTTCGGCCTTTTTTTTGTGTGCCCCTCCCCCCCCGCCCCGGCTCCAACCTGACGACGCTGAACTTGAGGTTGTAGTTGCCGCCGCTCTGGATGATGGGGGGGTAACACATCTCCACCGCCGAGGGGTCGGCGCCCGCCAGGTACTTCTTCTCCTCGATGGCCTTCTCCACCGACTCGGCCAATTTACTGTGCCGGACTTTCTGGGGGTGACGACATCGTTATGACATCACCTACCCTGACGTCGCCTTTTTCGTTTTCGACGCCCGGCGCGGCGCTTGTTTTTCTGACCTCATCGGCGTCAACGATCTCCATCACCCGCTCCTTGAAGAATTTGGTGAAGACCTCGGAGGTGATGGCGGCCGCCTTGCGCATCAAGTTGAGTTCGCCGTCTTCTTTGGCCGCCATCGTGTAGGCCACCACGGCGCTGATGTCCACCTACGGGGGACGGCGTTGGGGACACGGTGGGGATGACGTTGGGGGGACGAAGTTGAGGGCAACGTTGGGGACGCTGGGGACGACGTTGGGGACAACGATGGGGACTTCGGGGCAACGTTGAGGACAATAATGGGGACGTTGAGGACGTTGGGGACAACGATGGGGACAACAACAATGGGGACGCTTGGGACAACGTTGGGGACAACGTTGAGGACGTTTGGGACAACATTGGGGCAATGATGGGGACAATGTCAAGGACGACGTTGGGGACGTCTGGGATGACACGGAGGGCAACATGGGGGACGATGTGGAGGACATTTGGGACAACGTGGAGGACGTTTGGGATGATGACAAAGACAACGTTGGGGACATTGGCACAACGTTGGGGACAACAGGACAACGTCGGGGACAACGTCAAGGACAACGCTGGAGACATTTGGGGCAAGTTTGGGGACACTTGGGACGCCGCTGGGGACAACGTCAAGGACATCTGGGACGAGGTTGGGGACGTTGAGGGCAACGTTGAGGACATTGGGGATGACGTTGAAGACAACATCGGGGACAACATCAAGGACAACGTCGAGGACATTTGGGACGACGTCGAAGACGACGTCGGGGACAACGTGGAGGACGACGTTGGGGACAACGTGGGGGACGGGAAGGTGGCCCCGGGGGACGCGGCGGCCCCCCCGGACCTTCTCGAAGCCCTCCTTGCTGAGACAGTCGTTCCAGCTCTTCATGAAGTCGCCGGGGAACTTGTCCTTGCTGAAGACGCCGATGCGCCTCCCGCCCTTGCTGGCCTTCAGCGCCTCGATCATCTTCTCGAAGTTGGCTTTGTTGCTCTCATTCTGAGGCAAAAAAAGGAGAAAACGGGCAAAAAAAAAAACCCCGAAAAATTAAATAAAGAGGCCTTCGGTCCCGCCCCCCACCGAGACGCTTCCGCGCCCCGCCCTCATCTCGCTCGCCGCCGCCGTTCGCGTCTTCGCGGTCATCCCAGCTCCTCCTTCGTCTTCGTCCCGCCGCCTCTTCCTCCTCCTCCGCCTGCCTTCCTCCCCAGCTCCGCCCCGTCCTCTTCGTCCCACCTCCCTGGAGGTCACACCTCCATCCTGTGCCCCCCTTCGTCTCCATCTTCATCTTCCTCTTCACTTCCATCCCGTCTCCACCTTCCTCTTCGCCTCCACCTTCATCCCATCTCCATCTTCATCTTCATCTCCGCCTCTACCCCGTCTCCACCTTCAACCCGTCTTCACTTTCCTCTTGGTCTCCTTCACCTTCATCTCCACCTCCACCCCCCCTCCACCTTCCTCTTCACCTCCACCTTCCTCTTCACCTCCGCCTTCCTCCCGTCCCCATCTTCTTCATCTCCACTTTCCTCCCTATCTCCACCTTCCTCTTCGTCGTCTTCACCTCCACTTCCATCGCAACTCCACCTTTCTCTTCATCTTCATGCCTGCCTTCATCTCCGCCTTCCTCCTGTGCCCATCTTCCTCTTCATCTCCACCTTCTCCATCTCCACCTCCACCCCCCCGACCTCCACCTTCATCTCCACCTTCCACCTTCCTCTTCAGCTCCTTCACCTCCATCTCCACCTTCCTCCCATCCCCACCTTCCTCCTCATTTCCACCATCTTCATCTCCATCTCCATCCCACCCCACCTCCACCTTCCTCCTGTCCCCACCTTCCTCCCATCCCCATCTTCCTCTTCATCTCTTCCTTCATCTCCTTCACTTTCATCTCCACTTCCCTCCCATCCCCACCTTCCTCTGCGTCTCCACCTTCCTCATCTCCATCCCACCCCATGTCACCTCCACCTCCTCCCATCTCCACCTTCCTCCTGTCCCCATCTTCCTCCCGTCCCCACCTTCCTCTTCATCTCCTTCATCTCCACCTCCATCTTCGTCCTCATCTCCACCTTCTTCATCTCTTCCACCTCTACCTCCACCTTCCTCCCACTCCCATCCTCCTCTTCATCTCCCTCTTCATCTCCCCCTTCTTCATCTTCATCTCCACCTCTACCTCCCCTCCACCTTCCTCTTAATCTCCATCTTCCTCTTCACCTTCACTCTGCTCTTCACGTCCACCTTCCTCCCATGCTACCTTCCTGCCATCCCCACCTTCCTCTTCATCTCCTTCACCTCCATCCCCACCTTCCTCTTCATCTCCACTTTCCCCATCTCCATCCCACCCCACCTCCACCTTCCTCATCTCCACCTTCTTCATCTTTTCCAGCTCCACCTCCACCTTCCTCCCACTTCCATCTTCCTCTTCCTCTTCATCTCCATCTTTATCCCCACCTCCGCCCTCCTCCTGTCCCCATCTTCCTCCCGTCCCCACCTTCCTCTTCATCTCCACCTCCATCTTCGTCCTCATCTCCACCTTCTTCATCTCTTCCACCTCTACCTCCACCTTCCTCCCACTCCCATCCTCCTCTTCATCTCCCTCTTCATCTCCCCCTTCTTCATCTTCATCTCCACCTCTACCTCCCCTCCACCTTCCTCTTAATCTCCATCTTCCTCTTCACCTTCACTCTCCTCTTCACGTCCACCTTCCTGTTAATCTCCATCTTCCTCTTCACCTTCACTCTGCTCTTCACGTCCACCTTCCTCCCATGCTACCTTCCTGCCATCCCCACCTTCCTCTTCATCTCCTTCACCTCCATCCCCACCTTCCTCTTTGTCTCCACTTTCCTCCCCTCTCCTTCACCTCCATCCCCACCTTCCTCCCATCTCCACCTTCCTCTTCATCTCCTTCACCTCCATCCCCACCTTCCTCCCATCTCCACCTTCCTCTTCATCTCCTTCACCTCCATCCCCACCTTCCTCCCATCTCCACCTTCCTCTTCATCTCCTTCACCTCCATCCCCACCTTCCTCCCATCTCCACCTTCCTCTTCATCTCCTTCACCTCCATCCCCACCTTCCTCCCATCTCCACCTTCCTCTTCATCTCCTTCACCTCCATCCCCACCTTCCTCCCATCTCCACCTTCCTCTTCATCTCCTTCACCTCCATCCCCACCTTCCTCCCATCTCCACCTTCCTCTTCATCTCCTTCACCTCCATCCCCACCTTCCTCCCATCTCCACCTTCCTCTTCATCTCCTTCACCTCCATCCCCACCTTCCTCCCATCTCCACCTTCCTCTTCATCTCCTTCACCTCCATCCCCACCTTCCTCCCATCTCCACCCCTTCCTCTTCACCTCCACTTTCCCCATCTCCATCCCACCCCACCTCCACCTTCCTCATCTCCACCTTCATCTTTTCCAGCTCCACCTCCACCTTCCTCCCACTTCCATCTTCCTCTTCATCTCCACCTTCTTCATCTCCACCTCTAGCCCATCTCCACT